AGATTCTGAGTTCAGCTAAAATTGTTTTTGGACTTTACAAATTGATAACTATTTAACAGATTTAAGTGAAGTCAACTTTTGTTAATCATTTTGTTGACTCACAATGGTCGTTTTTGCTATATAAGTTTAACGTTGATTTCTCGCTTAGAATCATGACATGCATTTTACTTTTAATAAATGCTTCACATTTAATACCCTATAGTTATCGCGAATTAGCGAATAACAATTAATTTCAATCTGTACGATAATGTTATGAAATGCCTTTCTTTTTTTACTATCTCTACAGACCATTCTAAAATTGAAAAACTTTAAATTGAATGCCGTATTTGATATGTACATAACTAAAACCTAAAACTTAGCATTCCACTGCTACCTGTCACCTGTTACCAGTTGTATAGATTTGTATTAAGAGGATGATATTGCAGAAATTTGCTCGCTTCGATTCTGGCGTACGCACAATCAGTCAATGTCGAAGGTGCTAGCTCATCAAGCTGATCTCTTTCAAATCGTGTGGTGATAGTTTTCATTTTCCTATTGCGCACAGAACTATGAACTACAGATATGAACCCAATGAACAACCCTCAAAGAAGAGGTTATAAAATTAGATTAAAATTAAAAACCTTGTGAGATATACATAGTTTTAATTAAATGTCTAGAAAGTCAACATGAAATCATGGTGATATTTTAAAATAGGTAGGTAGTACCTAGAGTCACGGAATGATAAAAATCCTTTTAACTTATAGTAAAAATCTTAGAACGAAAAAAGGGTTCTTCAAAGCAAAAATTTGGTTCGGTATTTTTTCGTGTAGTTGGACTTTGTTCATACCTGGGGTAGCGCTGAGTGGTCTTATCGCGAAATTTTTTGTTTAGAACGACAGCGCGGTCGAGCTGCGACAAATCCGAATTCTATACAAAGGAGGAAAGTCTAGTCGGGTGGATGCAGCTATTCTATATTGCTATACTGTGATGTAAAGTAAAAGACAAAAGACTTCGAATCTAGGTGCGATTACCAATAATGGGTATTCCATGGTCGCACATTTCTTACTTAATTTAAAAGATATAGATCCGTAATCTATTTTGGTTTCTCGTATCATATTCTGAACAAATACGCATATGAGAGTCCAAAAATGTTGGCCTGGAGCATGCCTAAAGAAACTGAACAGCAATTCAATATATTAATATTATTATAACCTGAACCCATTGAAAATGGGAAATCAGGGTATAATGGTTTGGTTAAGGGTATGTAACAGGCAGAAAGACTCATTGCATTTGTCCATCCGTCCGTAAGAACGCCTAGATCTCAGAAGTTATAAGAGCTAGAGAGCTGCGCCCACTCATGTATACCATACGCAGTACAAGTTTGCCTTATTTTTTTTTCGATAAATCACTCGATAACTTTTTTTATAGAAAATTTGATTTGGTTTTTTCAGCCTCATTTGAATACTTTTAGACCTGGAGACTTCAGATTTACTGTGTATATACAGTGGCTCACACCTTATTTCGTGCAGCAGCATAGTAAAACTTTGAAACCGTATTCCCGCTAAACCAGTAAAGATATAAAAAAATTTA